GACACCTGGAGCTCACCTGGAGCTCACCTGAGACCCCCCTGGGACACCTGGGACCCTCCCTGGACACCTGGAGCTCACCTGGGCCCCTCCCCCCATCGCTGGGACTCACCTGGACCCACCCAGGACCCCCCGGGACACCTGGAGCTCACCTGGAACCCCGCCTTGGACTCACCTGGGACCATCCTTGGACACCTGGAGCCCACCTGAGCCCCTCCCCCCATCGCTGGGACCCCCCTGGGCCCCTCCCCCGCACACCTGGACTGGGTTCCCCCCTCCCCCACCCCCCGTCCCCCCCAATAAAGGCACAGGTGACTCCTCCAGGTGTGGCCAGGTGTGTTTATTGCTCAGGGCGGGGCCGGGAGGGACCCCCGGGGACACCTGGGCCACGCCCACTGCACACCTGGGCTCCACTGACACACCTGGGCCACGCCCACTGACACACCTGGGCCACGCCCACTGACACACCTGGGCCACGCCCACTGCACACCTGGGATCCACTGACACACCTGGGCTCCACTGACACACCTGGGCCACGCCCACTGCACACCTGTGATGTCACCTGCACACCTGTGATGTCACCTGCACACCTGTGACGTCACCTGCACACCTGTGACGTCACCTGGGCCCCTCCCCAGCACACCTGGACTCGATTCCTGCCCCTGAACCCCAAAAATAAACGCACAGGTGTGTCCAGGTGTATCTCAGGTGTATCCAGGTGTGGCCCAGGTGTGCCCGGGCAGGGTCAGGAGGAACAGGAGCGCCGAAAAAAAAAACCCAAAATCCCCCAAAAAACGCGGCCGGGGGCGCCACTTCCCGTCACGTGACGCGGCTACGTCAGAGGGGGCGTGGCTTCGCCAACACCATTACGTCACCCCCCACCCGGCTTTGTGGGCGTGGCTTCACTTGTTGCATTGCGTAATCGCGCGTTGTGGGCGTGGCTCCGCTGTCGGGGTGACGTCAGGGGGAAGCGGGCGCGGTGTGGGCGTGGCTTAGGGCGGAAAAGGGGCGTGGCCGAGGGGGGAGGGGCAGCAATGGCGGCTCTGCGCGTGCTCGTGGGGGTGAAGCGCGTCATTGACTTCGCCGTCAAGGTAAGAGCGCACCTGGAACTCACCTGGGCACCCCAAAATTCCCGCGGGAAACCCCCCCGGAAGGCGGGAACCCCCCAGGAACGCGGGAAATGCCGAAATCCCGCGGTTCGGCGCGGGTTTTTTGGCGGGAAAATGGGGGGAAAAGGGCGGGGAAGGTCACACCTGGGCGTACCTGGGGAGGGGTTTTGAGGTCACGTGGGTGGGAGCCGCTCCCCCCTCCCTCAGAGACCCCTCCCCCCCAAAAAAAATTTCCAAATTCTGGCGGTTTTTTGGGGGCGTGGTTTGGGGGTTGGGGGAGGGGTGGCACACCTGGGGACACCTGGGGACACCTGGGGACACCTGGACACACCTGGGGACCCCAAAAAACCTCAAAACCCCCCCCAAAACCCTCAAAAAAAGCCAAAACCCCCCAAATAAATCCCAAAAAACCCCAAAAACCCCAAAATCTCCTCAAATCTTGGGGTCAGTTTTGGGCTGGGCACACCTGGGCACACCTGGGCACACCTGGAGACCCCAAAAAACCTCCAAAAAACCCCCAAAAAATTAAAAAAAAAAAACCCAAAAATAAAAAAAATCCCCAAAAAATAAAAAAAATCCCCAAAAAATCCAAAAAACCCCCAAAAATACAAAAAAAATTCGCAAAAAATTAAAAAAAAATCCCAAAAAAATCCAAAAAACCCCCAAAAATCAAAAAAGTATCGCAAAAAAATAAAAAAAATTAAAAAAAACCTCCAAAAATAAAAAAATCTTCAAAAAATAAAAAATATAAAAAAAGCCCAAAAAAATCAAAAAAACCCAAAAAAATCCCCCCAAAAAATCGCAAAAAAATTTTAAAAAATCCCCAAAAAATTAAAAAAACCAAAAAAATAAAAAAAAATCCTCAAAAAAATTCCCGAAAAATTCCTGAAAAATTCCCAAAAAAATCCCAAAAAAATCCCAAAAAAATCCCAAAAAGTTCCCAAAAAAATCCCAAAAAATCCCAAAAAAACCCCAAAAATAAAAAAAATCCCCAAAAATAAAAAAAGAAAAAACCCCAAAAAATAAAAAAAAACCCAAAAAAATCCCAAAAAAAACCCCTAAAAAATAAAAAAATTCCCAAAAAATCCCAAAAAATCCAAAAAAACCCCAAAAAATTAAAAAAAAAAAATCCCCAAAAAATAAAAAAACCAAAAAAATTAAAAAATCCAAAAAAATCCAAAAAGAACCCCAAAAAATAAAAAAAATCCCAAAAAAATCCCAAAAAATAAAAAAAAATCCCAAAAAAATCCCAAAAAATAAAAAAAAATCCCAAAAAAACCCCAAAAAATAAAAAAAAAATCCCAAAAAACCCCCCAAAAATAAAAAAAAATCCCAAAAAAATCCCAAAAAATAAAAAAAAAATCTAAAAAAAATGCCAAAAAATAAAAAAAATCCCAAAAAGAACCCAAAAAAAAAAATCCCAAAAAAATCCGAAAAAATAAAAAAAAAATCCAAAAAAAATCCCCCCAAAAATAAAAAAAAAATCCCCAAAAAATCCCCAAAAAAACCCCAAAAAATCCCAAAAAACCCCCAAGAAATTAAAAAAAAATCCCAAAAAAATACAAAAAAAAAAAAATCACA